CAGGGGTTAAGCAAATTGTCCTCCCCACCGTCCACCGCGGTTCCATCCCTGGAACACATGCATACGATCCCCCAAGCACAACCAGGAGTGATCCAGGAGCACAGAGCTAGGAGCTCAGCCCCGAGCACCACCGCGTGCGGCCCCCAAACAAAAACAAAATGGAATCTTGAAGTCACTTAGGCTGTCAAGAGTTGCCGATTCAAGTTCTCTAATTCAGGAAAATTAACTTCCTTGTGATTTGGGAGGGGTCTTCCCAAACCAGTGCTCGGGAGGCCCAGGGTCTCCCTAGAAATTCTCAAACATCTGGTATTTTGGTGCAAGGATGCAGGACACGTTAGTACTCCAGCCGGGGGTCGCCCAAGCACTTGGGCAGGAGCCAGTGGCGCCAGGGGCAGCCAAGGGCAGCAGCAAGCAAGGTTTTACCCCCGAACTGGCCCTTTGGGCACTTTATTTTAATTTTAACTTTAAGTAAAGTTCTTTCCAACATGAATTAAACGAGATCTATAATTTTGTTGTTGTTGTTGTTGTTGTTGTTTTGGGTCATACCCAGTGATGCCCAGGGATTACCTCCTGGCTCTGTACTCGGGAATTACTCCTGGCAGTGCTGAGCATATGGGGACCATATGGGATGCTGGAACTCGAACCCAGGTTGGCCGCGTGCAAGGCAAATGCCCTACCCTCTGTACTATCATTCCAGCCCCAAGATCTATAATCTTATCAAATACAAGACTGTACCTTGCTGCCAATTTTCTTGAAAACTAGGAATTTTTTTCATTAATTTTAGCCCTTCTAAAGCTTTTATTTTCTAATCTGACATCTAGATCAAATTTATTGCTTATTCTTTGTATCTAATTTCAACTTAATAAAATAAACTAACTACTGTAGCACAGTATTTTACAAACCAGAAATCAGAGCCCATTAGGGCCTCATTAAATCAGCCTGGGCAATTATGATTGACATTTAAAATAACAACTTAACAGGGAGCCAGAGATAAGGAGGGAGGGTAAAGTTCTTACTTCGCATATCGCTGACCCAGGTTCAGACCCCAGCACCACATGGATGTCCCCTAAGCATCACCAGGAGTGATTCCTGAGCTCAGAGGCAGGAGTAAGCCCTGAGCACAGCCAGGTGGACCCCAAAACAAAAACAAACATAAACAGTTAAGCAGAACAGGACTGGGGAGACAGCGCACAAGCTCTGCTGGGAGAAACTGCGTCACCTGATCCCCTGAGCACTGACAGAAGTGAGCACTGAGCTGGAAGCAGTCCCATAATAGCACCGTAGCACTGTCTTCCCGTGGTTCATCTATTTGCTTGAGCGGGCACCAGAAATGTCTCCATTGTGAGACTTGCTGTTACTGCTTTTGGCATATCAGATACACCACGGGGAGCTTGCCAGGCTCTGCCGTGCGACATAAGTATAGCACTGTTCAATCATCAACAGGGAGATCCTGCCTGTTGTGAGAACATGGAGGAACCTGGAGAGCATTAGACTCAATGAAATCAGCAAGAGAAAAATTATATTGCATAACACCACTTCTAAGTGGAATCTGAACAGACAGAAGTAGACCTCTGAGAATATAGTGGTTAGCTGTCAGGAGGTGGGGCAGGGATAGGGGATACGGAAGGTTGGCAAAAGTGTCTACACTTTTTACGTATCCAATAAATAGTTTGGGTACCTAACGTAAATATGGTGACCAGAACTGATTACGCTGTATTGTATAATTAAAATTTGCTAAGAATAGAACTATCTGGAATTCTTTTTTCTTTTCTTTTTCAATTTTTGGGCCATACCTGGCAGTGCTCAGGAGTTACTCCTAGCTCTGTGCTCAGTAACTACACCTGGTAATTTGGGGACCATATGGGGTGCCAGGGATCAAACCCAGCTGGTCACATGCAAGGCCAAGTGCTCTACTAATTGTACTTTGGCCCCCTAAATATCTGAGAATTCTATTTGCCAATTATACTCAAATAAACTAGAAAAATGAAAATATCATGTGCCAGAGGGAATTGCTACTACTCTAACACGAATAAGGTAGTTGAACACCAAAAAATTTTAGAAAGTATTACAGCAAACACTGAAGAACATTGCTCTGTGAACTAAAATGAATTAAGTAAAATGAGAAGTGAGAAGTTTTCAAGTTAATAAGTGCTCTAAACAGAGAATCTTTCTTTCTTTCTTTCTCTTTCTTTTTCTTTCTTTCTTTCTTACAAAGTTGTTCATGACTGGATTTCAGTCATACAGTGTTCCAACACCCATCCCTCCACCAGTATACATTTCCCAGCACCAGTGTCCCCAGGTTCCCTCCCATCACCCCCCACCCTTCACTCCCTGCCTGCCTCTATGGCAAGTGTTTTTCTTCTTTTTTTCTTCCTCCTCTTCTCTCCTCCTCCTCTTCTCTCCTCCTCCTCCTCTCTCTCTCTCTCTCTCACTCTCTCTCCCCCACCCCATTCTTCCCTCTCTCCCCCCCTCCATCCCTCCATTCTCTCCTTCTCTCTCTCTCCCCCATCCCTCCCTCCCCTCCTTCTGGGCACTCTGCAATACTGATACTCAAAGCTTCTCCGTCTTACCTACCCTCAGCCCCACACACATTTGTGGCTAGTTCCAACCACTGACCAGTCCTCCTAACCCCTGGCCATAGATATTATTCTTCTGCTACATATATTTTTTATATACCACAACTGAATGCAGTCATTCTATATCTGTCCCTCTCCTTCTGACTCATTTCACTCAGCATTATACTCTCCATGTCCATCCATTTATAGGCAAATTTCATGACTTCATTTTCAGAGAATATTTCTTGAGAAACATACTGTATGTGGACCAGATCCATGCAGCAGTTTGTGTTTGTTGCTGGAAAAGAGATGTGATATGTGGGGAGAGCACATATCACATGGCCGGAGCAATAGTACAGCAGATAGAGCATTTGCCTTGCACGAGGCCAACCTGGGTTTGATTCCTCCGCCCCTCTCCGAGAGCCCGGCAAACTACCGAGAGTATCCCACCCACATGGCAAAGCCTGGCAAGCTACCATGATGTATTCGATATGCCAAAAACAGTAACAAGTCTCACAATGGAGACATAACTGGTGCCCGGCCCAGTTCCCATAATAAAAAGTACAATTACAAAAGAAGCAGGAGGTTCGCATGCCATTTCGTGCATCCTGTTTCAGAAACTTAAGGAATCAGAAAATGCAGATGAGAAAGCCAGTGAATATTAAAAACATGAATGTGAAGCCTGTCTAGCCTGATAGGTAGTTGGGGCGGGGGGAGGGGCATATATAAAACATCGAAGACAAAATCAATGTGGGATTCCTTTTTATTTTTTTTTTTGGACCTATCCAAATGCTGTCCAAAACTTAAGTTCTTGCCGCTATTTATAAAAGCAAAAGGTAGAAAAAGTTTAAATTCGAAACCGTGCAAGTTTGAGACCCAACTTGTCAAACTTTCAGAAAAGAAGGCGTGAACCTGCTCTTTAGGTCTGAGAGGGTTAGCCGGGACTCCAAGAGGAAAAGAGAGAGAGGCCCTGAGGCAGATGGTGAGCAGTGAGCTGGGAGCAGGCCCATAATAAAGTATAAAACACCTGCAAACGTTAAGTAGGGGTCCAAAAGAGTTTGTTTCTAGTAAGTAGGGAAAGGCAGATGGAAATTGGCAGGGGTGGGGGGGGGGGGTGTCAGGCAGGGGAAAACCCAACCTATGTATTTCTGTGACTTTAGATGCAATTAGAAAGAAATTTTGTAAAATAAAGGCTATGGATACACACTTTAGAAATCTACAAAGAAACAATTCAGAACCTCTATTACAGAGCTACAGAGAGAGAGAGAGAGAGAGAGAGAGAGAGAGAGGGGAATAGGGTAAGTGATGTCACTAATTTTCCTCCACAAGCAATAAAATGCTCAGTGCTCAATTTCCGTGTCTTCCAAAGGCAATGAAGCCCCCCACCCACTTCCCCAGGACCATAAAAGCCCCCTTCCCTTCTCAGGGGAGCTGATCTCAGAGATTAGCTTCTAAGCCTGTGGGGGAGAAAGACTCTCTTCATGGGGCACTTTCTAAGACAACCAAGCGCTCGAGGACTCCTCTATGGCTGCGACAAAAACCCAGAACTGGCACCGCTGGGTCGCAAGGGCCAAGGATGCTGGGGTATCCAGCCACACGTGCTTTATTCTCACTCCCTCCTCTGGGGGTGCAGGAACCAGGGGATGGTTCCCGCAAGTGAAACAGGCAGAAATGCCACAGTTCTGACTGGGGGCAGAGCGAGAGCCAGGAGAAGGGGGGTCCCCAGACTCACTCTACATGCATGGTGGAATAGAACACAGAAGATAGAGGCCTGGAAGGAAAGCCAGTGTGTGCGTGTGTATGTGTGTGTGTGCATGTGTGCATGTGTGTGCATGTGTGTGTGTGTGTGTGTGTGTGTGTGTGTGTGTTGGGGGTGTGGAGAAGGGCCTCCAGACTGAAGGTCATATACCTCCCATCAACAGCCAGGGCACAGCAAATGGGAAGAAGGAAATGCCCCAATTCCACGTTCCCAGACGCCAGGCAAGGGGCCGAGCCTTGCGGACAGGCCCCTCCAGGGATACCCTTTCCAGGCCTGCTGGCTTCACCCTTTCCTGCACACACGAGACCTTTCTCCAAGCCTGACGCGTGCAGACACATGACTGCTTCTTTATACCCAAGTATCCACCCACTTCCTGACCAGGGCCCCTCCAAACCTTGTTTCCTTCCCACATACTCCCCCACCCCACCCCCCACTGGACCTGAGTCTCAGGCCATGGGCCCCGAGTCAACACATCTTTCCTCCATGGCCCGCTTGGCCTATCCTGGGAAAACCATGGGAGAATGCTGCTTCAGAAGAGAATTCTAGAAATTCAGCAAATTGAAAAAATTACAGAATATACTGAAAACGGCCGGCATGGCCTGCCTTTGGTTAATCTTATCCGCTCTCACTCATTGTTTCTTTCTCACAGTGAGTCACGTTTCATTCCATTTTCATTCATCACTTACCCAGAACTCCTCGAGCTGCGCTGTCTAGGGTCCCGCCATGGCCAATTTTCAGGGCCTGCTTTTTCCTTTTAGTCCATTCCGGAGATGGCATTCCAGCTTCTGTGAAAGCAATCAGGATTGGGGGGGGGGGGGGGGGGGGGGGGAGAGTGATTACCAAAACAGTCAACTGGAATTTTCAGCTAACTGTACATCTAGCCCCAAAATTGCAAAGGAAGAATAACCCAAAACAAGTTGTCCAGAAACAGAGAAAAAAAAACCACATTAAAAAAAAAATGACAACTATATATGGTAAGTTTATAGGCTAACCTACAAAGAACTAGCAAAATCCTGGAAACACAAATACTTGATGGTAACAAGTAGTTTTTATATAGATGGCTGGTTTTAAAAGTCCTCCATTCCGGGGCCAGAGCGTCAGTACAGTGGGTAGGACCCAGGTTGGATCCTTGGCATCCTTTATGTCCCCTGGGCACCATGAGGAGTAATTTCTGAGTGCAGAGCCAAGAGTAACCCCTGAGCATCGCCGGATGTGGTGCAAGAAAAGACACAAATAAATAAATAGGTAAATAAATGCCCTCAATTCCATGTCTTAAGTTCGGGTTTCTGGGGCCGGAGGGATGGTACAGAGGTTTGCCTAGTATCATGCATCTCAACCGTGAGCCTGGTTCCAATCCCAGCTCCACGGATGGTCTCTTTCACACCCCACAGCACTGGCAGGGGGCTCCGGGCAACCTCTGGGTGCGGGAGATCGCTGGGGTTTTCGGATGCCCCCGCTAACCTGAGCAGAGCACAACTAACAAAGGTCCACTTCAGGTCCCCAGCTACTCTTATTTGCTGTCCTACCAGAGCAAACTGTAACAAAATGTTCCCTGAGAAACAGTAACAATTCACTGCCTCTTAGTAGCAGAAGAATTTAGAGGAAAAGGAAAGGGGGGCGGGGGTGAGATGTGGGTCTGTGGGGGTTACATGATTCCCATGTGTGAGACCCCAGCACCACACACACACACACACACACACACACACACACACACAAAATGATGCAACCAGACCTAGCTCATATTCCTATTGTAAAGACAACAACGAAATAAAGTTCTCTAAAAATGCTTAGAGGGGGCTGGAGAGATAGCATAGCGGGTAGGGCGTTTAGCTAGCGGGTAAGGCGTTTGCCTTGCACACGGCCGACCCAGGTTCAATTCCCAGCATCCCATATGGTCCCCTGAGCACTGCCAGGAGTAACTTCTGAGTATAGAGCCAGGAGTAACCCCTGTGCATCGCTGGGTGTGACCCAAAAAGCAAATAAATAAATAAATATAAATAAAAATGCTTAGAAACTACCAAGCACTAGAACAGTTAAGTTGTTGCTAGTGTAGACAGAATACATCCAGAGAATATTAGCTGCAGGAATTCAAATGAGAAAAAAGAGGAACTCAAACACTGCGTTGACCTACCTGTAACCTCAACACCCGCTTCCTTCGCCCCACTGACACCAGGAAGACAGAAAAGAGAGCACAAGAAGACGAAAGTGGAGAGTGGAGAGAGGGAGGGGGCCAAGGAAAATCATGGTGAAACAGACAAATGGCCAAAAGGAACCCCAGGGTTGAGCAGCGCCAGGTGATGACCCCCTGTGCCCCAGGCCGTGATGTCTGAGCTGATCAGGCCACTCTGTGACCACAGGACCCTCATCCTCCGAAGGGCAGAGCTGCTGCTTCAACAGAATCTTCTGAGGCCGGACCCATACTTCAGGCCAGACCCCACTGTGGCTCTCACCCAGGAGTCAACAGAAACCTTTGGGGACTCTCTTTGTATGTTCAAATCGACACTCCTTGGACTGTGAGCTTACTTTTAAGCTAATTTACTTAAAAGTTTTCACTTTCTTTCGTGTCCAAACTACCTTCCTTCAGATTGAAGACATATCATCGCTCCTGGATGGGCTCACCCCAGTGCTACCATGCATGGAGGAATCTGTAATCAGGCCTTGTGGAGACTCCTCAGAGAAAGGACAGTGGGTAAGGTGCTTGCTGTGCACGTGGCCAACCCATGTTACATTCCCTGGAGCCCCATCTATTCCCCTGAACCCCACCAGGAGTGATCCCTGAACAGAGAGCCAGGAGTAAGCTGTGAGCGCCGTGGGGTGTAGCCGAACCCCCTTACCCGCACATTTTTTGAAATAAGGTCTTGCAAAAAAAAAAAAATCTTATGTGTTAGGATTTGAAATTCAAAGAGTGCAGAAATTTCTATACATGAATCCATGCAAAATAAAACAAAGGGCATTAATAGCAGCCACAGTCAAAGACTCGTGACTGTAATCTGTGGTTGTCAAACCAGAAACATTCGAATGGGGTGTCCTGGAGTTTGGACCTTTAAGAACCTTCCAAGATCATTCTGGCAGTCCAAATGGCATTTGGTAAACTCCACTCCAAGATAAGTATAGAACAGGCCAATCGCAAGCAACATGAAATAAAAAGTCGTAAGAAAGTCTACACATCTGAATCAGCGATTTCCAGCAAATAGCCTGGAAATCATCCGTTTTAATCCATCTCAACAATAAACCAGTTATTGGAGGGAAATTAACCAGCAACCTCAGATACTCCTTGGATCCTCCCAGGAACCCCCCAGAGAAAGAATGGCTTGACCTCCTGGCACAAACAAAACCCCCAGAACTTTAGTTAACAAAGAAGGCCAAACAAAAACAGCAATTCTGTAAAGGAAGGTGACAGGTGACAGGTGATGGGCAGCCCCTGGAGTAATTCAATCCTTCAAAAGTCTCTGACACATCCTTATAGCAACAAAGTCAAAGGAAAGTATAAAATGGGAATGAGATTTTTTTAAATGCCATAAAACATCTGGATCAACATTGTGTCCATTCTTTTTCAGAACTGTTCAGTTTTGGTTTTGCTTTGGGGGTCATACCCAGTGGTTTTCAGGTTACTCCTGGCTCTGTGCTCAGGGATCACTTCTGTGGATGCTCAGGCTATGAGATGATGCGCCAGGAATTGAATCCGGGTCAGCGAACTGCAAGGTAAACATGCTACCCACTGTACTATCATTCTGGCCCCTCAGAACTAATTTTTGCACTCAAAAAAAAAAAGTGCTAAATAACTGTAGGACACTCTGGAGTAGATTTAATGGCAAGAGCAAACTCAGGGGGACCTAGAAGAGCCTAACATATCATTCTGTCCAGGATGGGCAGAGTGATAGTAGCAGGAAGGACACTTGCCTGCACAATCCTTAGCATCTCATTTAGTGCCCCTTACTCCCCAGGTAAGATCCCAGAGCACAGAGCCAGGAGTAAAGCCCTGAGTACCACTGGGTGTGCACCAAAACCAAACCAAAGTATCATTCTCTCCTTGAAGGGGGCTGAGATCACAGTGTGCTCTGAGCTCAGTTTCACTCTGTGGCTCCTAGGACACCACAGGTGGGTTTGTTTTCAGTGTCCAATAACCCCAAGGTTTCTCCACCCTTGCCTGAAAGCATCTACTGGGCTGAATAACTGGGAAATCTTTCGGGGCGTTTCTAACATTTTCCCAGGGCACAGGAAGAAACAAACTGGATGAACTTCGCGACCAACTTGTATTTCTAGTTCCCAGAAACGGGCCTACCTACAGCACCATCGCCTGAGGCAGCAAACTTAAAAAACAAGGTTGCCTCGGGGAGGGGGGGGGGGGGAGGCACAGAAAGATGCTACAGGGGTTTCCCTGCTGGCCTGGGGTGCAGAGTCCTCAGTTTGACCCTGAGCACCGAATAGGGCCCCTGGGCACCTCCAGGTGTAACCCCTGGACAAAAGACCTACATGTGCTCTGAAACTAGGTTACTTAAAAATAGCCCAGACTCAGAGCAGTGGGTAGGGCGTTTGCCTTACACGCGGTCGACCCGGGGTTCAATCCCAGGCATCCCAAGTGGTCCTCCAAGCACCGCCAGGACTATTTCCTGAGTGCAGAGCCAGGAGGAACCCCTGAGCATCGCTGGGTGTGACTCAAAAAGAAAAAAAAAAAAACAGTAGCCCAGACTCTCTGAATCAATCACCCAGAATGATCTGTCCCCGCCTCCAGAGGAAACCCAGCGCCCGAAGTCTTGCTCAAGGAACACCTGCATCTTCACCCTACTCTCATACCCTCAAGGAAGGCCACTCGATGGGGGATGTGGGGGATGGGGAGGAGGAGCTCCCTTCGGGTGGGCGTGCATCTGCGTGAACCCAAAGGTCCCCCCAGAGCGCAGACTGCAGAGAAACCGGGGTGCGCGTCCGGAGAGTGGCGGTGGCTTTGCCTAGGTCGGCTCGCGGCTCTCCCTCCCTGCCCCCACCCCGGGCAGCAGCGTCCACTACCCACCAGCCCGGGGGAGCCCCCCGGTGGGCTCCCCTCCGGGCGCGCACAGGAGATGACAGCTCCCGGGCGGGCTCCGCGGGGCCCCGGCCGTACCTGCCAGCAGCTTCTCCTTCAGCCGGTTCAGCAGCTCGGCCGACGTGGGCCCTTTGGGCTTGTGCACGGCGAACACGCCGCTCAGGGACAGCAGCTTGGTCGCCAGGGCGGCCTTGGACACGCGGCCCTCGGCTCCCGGCCGGGCCGCAGCCTGCGCAGACGCGTCGGGGGCCGTGGCTGCAGCCGCGGCTGCCGTGTCAAGGTCAGGAGCCGGGTCGCTGGGCAGAGACGACGATGACGACGACACCAGCGCCGCCGCCTCGGCCTCTGCCATGCTTCTACGGTCCGGGCCAGTGGAGGGGGCGGTTCCTGGAGGCGCACGCTGATGACGCCACCGGAGAGCGCCCGGACTATTCCGCTCTTCTTTCCCACGGTTAGAAGCGGGGGAGACCAAGCTGCGGGTCGCAAGGCATTGTGGGGATTGTAGTCCTTAAGCTTCCCGACAAGCCGAGAGCTGAGACTTTTTTAAATTTATTTTATTAGGTAAAGGTAAAGGCCCTCCCGTTGATCGTCGATTTGCTCGAGCGGGCCCAGTAACGTCTCCATTGGAGACTTTGTTGTTACTTTTTGCTTTTTGGGTCATACCCAGCGATGCACAGGGGTTACTCCTGGCTCGTGCACTCAGGAATTACTCCCAGCGGTGCTCGGGGAACCAGATGGGATGCTCGGAATCAAACCGGGACGTCTGCATGCAAGGCAAACTGTGCTATCGCTCCAGCCTATTTTTTTTTTAATTAAAAATAATTTTATAGAATTGTTCGCAATAATTTATTACATTTAATCTTCCAACACCAAACCCACCACTATTATACCTTTCCACCACCACAAGTTTTCCCAACTACCACCCAAGTCTGCCCCAATAGCAGGTCTTAATTTAAATTGTATTGCTTTTAATCAATAATTTGTTAAAAATGATCCAAAAAGGTTTCCTTACAAGAAAGTGAGTGATTAGTGTTGTACCTCACCTAGGAGCCATTGAGCCCTTTTGTAAGAGATTACTAACATGTTCTTATAGGTTGAGTCTTGTGTGCTATATTTTTAAAATTGAGATTAGATGCCTTCTACTTTACATCTTATCCGATGGGTGTGCTATGCTACTCCTGGTACATCAGTGGTATAGAGTATGAGATGTTGCTCCAGGAATTCTAAAATTTTAACCAAGGTGATACACCTGGAGTTAAATTTTTAACTGGATAGTGACTGGGGTCTGGAGGCATCTCTGCTGGTTGTTGATCTCTTGCGAGATTTATTTGTGTCTCTCAGACTGAGACTTCTGACTTGCAATAGTTTTTCTCCTATAACACATCTGATTTAAGTGAGGTGAGTTCAGTGCTTCTGCTTCTGAAATTTGCAACTTCAATCCTGAACTGCCAAACCCAAACACCAAGTTTATATATATTTTTGAAGGGAAAGCTCTTGCACCCCTCCAGCTGCCCCCCCCCCCATACTAGAACTTTGAAGGACTCCGTTTTCCAGCAAAGAAAACTTCAAATACAGGTTTCTGCTCTGGCTCTATTGGTTCACTAATGCATTCAAGGCTCATGCTTTTGGATTCAAGATTTAGAACTTAGTTCTAGCTTGGATGAACTCTGTTGCAGTAAGGAACCCACTTCCTGTGTTCTTGGTGTACTCTGAGCTCATATAAATAAAACACTAATGGGTTGCCAGGGTTTGCAGGGGCTGCTGAGGGGAGCCCGAGAGAGATTGTACAGCGGGTAGTCGGGGGTGCTTGCATTGCATGGGCAGAACTGGGTTCAATCCCCACCATCTCATTACTCCTGAGCACCTCCAGGAGTAATTCCTGAGTGCAGAGTCAGAAGTTATTCCTGACCATTGCCAAGTGTGGCCCCAAATCAAGACAAAATAAAATAAAACACCAAGAAATAAGAAATGGAAATGTTGCCTCTCATTCCCAAAAGAAACCTTTAGGATAAGACAATGCCAAATCACTTGGATTCATTTCGCTGCATTTCTGTCCAGCCTCCACCCTGTCTTTCTACTGTAATTCTTAACAATTCTAAGATTTTCTTCTTGTTTTTGTGTGTTGGGGAAAGTAGGAGAGGTTTAAGGCTGCATCTGGCTCAGTGCTTGGGGCTCATAAGGGAACCAGGAATGGTAAAAGACTTGCCTTGTATGAGTGAGGACCTGTGTTTGAAACACAGCATGAAAACGGGGGGAGAGGGGAAGATAAAGGAGAATCATCAAAGTTGTATTCTTTTCAGCAATAATATGAGTTTAAGAAAATAAGTTGGGGATAGAAAGTAAAGCTGTTGTTAGGAAAAACGAAGTCATGAAATTTGCTTATAGATGGATGGATATGGAGAGTATCATGCTGAGTGAAATGAGTCAGATGGAGAGGGAAAAAGAGAGACAGATATAGAAGGATTGCACTCATTTGTGGTATATTATATATATACATATATATGACTAATATCCATGGCCAGGGATAAAGGGGGTTAGGAAGATTACTGGTCAATGCTTGGAATCAACCACAAGTACAGGGGCGAGGGTGGGGGACACCGGGCAGAGGTTAGGTAAGATAGAGAAGGGACCAGTATGACAATAATAGCTGGGAATGATCATACTGGACAAGAACTTAGTGTTAAAAGTAGGTAAAGGGATATACCTCATGACCTTTCAGTATCTGTATTATAAACCGCAATGCGAGAGAGAGAGAGAGAGAGAGAGAGAGAGAGAGAGAGAGAGAGAGAGAGAGAGAGCCTGACATTGAGGCAGGCTGAGGTTTGAGGTCAGGAGGTGATGGGAGGAAACCTGGGGACAAGGGTGCTGGGAAGCGTACCCCGGTGGAGGGATGGGTGTTGGAACACTGTATGACTGAAACCTAACCATGAACAGCTTTGTAACGCTCTATCTCACCTTGTTTCAATTGAAAAAAAAAATCTTTAAAAAAAAAGAAAGAAAGTAAAGCTGAATTTAAATGAATTTTTCCAGGGATGAGGATAAAGGGGCTGGAGTGATAGCACAGCGGGTAGGGCGTTTGCCTTACAAGCGGCCAATATGGCCGACCCGAGTTCGATTCCTCCGCCCCTCTCGGAGAGCCCGGCAAGCTACCGAGAGTATTCGATATGCCAGACACAGTAACAACAAAGTCTCCAATGGAGACGTTACTGGGCCCGCTCGAGCAAATCGACGATCAACGGGAGGGCCTTTACCTTTACCTTTAAAATATAGATGCCAAAAAATAAATTTTAGGAAAATCATAGAAAACACGTACTGGGCTGGAGCGATAGCACAGCGGGTAGGGCATCTGCCTTGCACGCAGCCAACATGGCCGACCCGAGTTCGATTCCTCCTCCCCTCTCGGAGAGCCCGGCAAGCTACCGAGAGTATTCGATATGCCAGACACAGTAACAACAAAGTCTCCAATGGAGACGTTACTGGGCCCGCTCGAGCAAATCGATGATCAACGGGAGGACCTTTACTTTTTACTTTTTTATAGAAAACACAGCTTGGAATTGACATCAGTGAAGGATGCCCAAGGGAGATCAGAATCAGCAAAGCTCCCAGCAGCCCAGTTAAAGGCATCTGTCAAACCACGCCTGAGTGCCCTGAGATCTGTTAGACTAGGAGGTTCATCCCTGGACCCCCAGATTTGATTTGTAGGCGAGGGCCACATTATGTCCTGGGCAGAAATAGGAAAACAGAAAGAATTCAAAGAAGATCTTCCCAAAGGATCATAGGACCGTAGATATTGAAATATTATTTCAATATTTAAAAAAAATCAAATGATTGGGTAAAATTTAACTTTTTATTCATATACTTATTTTTATTATTACAGGTAACATGATGGCAATAGTATCAGCATTTATGATTTTGAAGTTCACAGTTACTCTACCTGACCACCACCAGAGCACAGTTCTTGGTATTTTAAAGGGTGTCTGTAAGTTCCAGGGCACATTAGCAAGGAGAACTTGCCCAAGCGAGGCTGCCCATTGGGTGGAGATTTTTCAGCTTTGGAAACGAGTCATGAGGAATGCATGGAGCTGTCATGGCATCAGCTGTGTGAGGGGAGGCAGAGTAATGGTGAGTTTATCACAATCACATCACAATGGAGTAAATGTGCAGGTTGCAGGCCAGTCTCTGTTGGCTTTAGTCTTTTCCAGTTCCAACCAGATTATTCGCCTGACTTCTGTATTGCGGGGCCAAGGGTGGGGGTCACATCCAGCAATACTCAAGGATTACTCCTGGCTCTGCACTCTGGAATTATTCCTGGTGATGCTCAGAAGACCATATGGGATGTTGGGGTCAAACCTAGGTCAGCCATGTGCAAGGCAAATGCCCTCCCCACTGTATTATCTCTCCAGCCCGCTTCTGTGGTTTTGTGGCAGGCGAATGGTGCCAGAGACATGGTCCAAGGACGGCGTGAGAGGAGCCAGGTGGCAGCGACTAACCTCACGCGCCACCTCAGAATCCACCTGGAGCATAAAGCTGGCCCGATTTCAACTTTGAACCACAGGTGCAGGCATCCATAGCTTATGTAAATATGAAATGGTAGCAAAACAGTGAATTCTATCTTGGCAGCAATCATTGGATGACCAGGTCTAGAGAATATGGGAGGTGTCACTGGCAACTGGTAACACGGTTACTTCTAGGTATTATTTCACATGGCAGAAGTTTGTCCTGTGTCAAAGATGTCTTGTTCTCAAAAAAGAAAGAAAGAGGGAAAGAGAGAAAGGAAGGAAGGAAAGAAGGAGAAAGAAAAGAAAAGAAAAGAAAAGAAAAGAAAAGAAAAGAAAAGAGAAAAGAAAAGATTATCTTGTTCTCTCCTTCCCATAAGAAGGTAATTTGAGAACAAACTTCAGGAAGACATAAGGTTGAACCAAATAAAACTACTACTTTGTAGGTCCAAACATTTAAATATCCACCATTTCCATCTGTATTCCCACGTGATTGGCAGTTTAAAGCGTTGTTTCTCTCTTGGTACTTGCATGTAAACCCAGAAATCCAACAGACAGCAGCACAGATTGGGAAAGAGAGATGCTCAGAACATGAAAACATTCTGAGCTTGCCAAATCACCCCAAACCCGACCTGCATTTTCTTGATGATTTGTTCCATTAAGCTCTACTGATTCCTCTTAATATCATAGTCAGCCCAGGTCCATTCAAATAAATTAATGTTCTTATCTGGAATTTCTCACTTGGCGGTAAGAGCAAGCTGACCTGCCTGTGCCTGCACTGGCTCATATGAGCTCTCCAGAAAAATAAAAAAAAAACAAAAACTATTTTCACAATTCTGAGCAAAAGCAGCATGTGTTTTCTT